GAATCTTGCACTACTGCTTCAATAACTTTTATTTATACGATCCCGGAAGAAAGGTGGCAAAACTTAACAAAGCTTCAAAATAAAAACATGTTATGGCTTCCACTTTCAAAGCTACGCTAAAAGAATTGCACTACGCTCCTGCGTCCTTATCACTTATTCACCACCGAAATCTTGAGATAAGGATCACATGTCTATGTACAAATATAATGAACTACAGTAACAATTCTTCTTATTGTGGTTAACGATGGACATATGACACCGACAGCCCCAATAGTGCGACCAGCAATTGGTAACGATCTTGAGGCAGAAATTTCCTTTTTACCTTGCCGCTCTATTTGATTCATAATTACGTCTGTTACATTCTGTAGATATTGATGTTATTATTTTGCCCTTTAATACGCTAAAAAGTTAGGAAACGATTGCTTCAACGCGGATTTTTCTTTTTACGAAGCGAACGTCTATCCAATGTTTAGGGGTACTATACCTCCTCCTCTTGGGATAAACCTCATTAGTTTCCTTTTATTTTTATAAGATTTTTTGTTTATTTTTCCCATCTACTTTACTTTACTTAGCAGGTCGGAAAGGGTAAGCGTCTCGTAGAGTTTGGATTTCGTTCATCGATAGAGGACTTTACTTTTCAATCGCCTACTTAGTCCGAAGTAACACCTATTGGCAAGAGTGATTCTGCGTTGAATTTCCAGGCTGACAATGCTGTTGGTCAACGAAGTTACCTACGACTTGAATCACCGTGTCTGAAATTTCGTTGGGTACATTAATTAAAAATAGATCATCTCTCTGTATACCAAAAGTTCGTTATCTATCCCATTCAATTATCGTTATCTATCCCATCCCCATTCGTTGTGATTGATCACAAGGTTAAGAGGGAGACACTTGATTTCTCTGCACTGGCCGAAAACCAATTGATTCCGTAGCGGCGGTACATAGGGAGTTTGAGATGCCGAGTGTAAATAATATAATTACATATTTAGATGGAAACGGACTGAGGAGAGTCCTCTCCAAGAGTTCCATTATTCTGAACTATATCCAGAAGTTGAATGGCGAATGAAGAACGTCTTGCAGAGAAATTCTATATTTACCAACGACCACCCACTTTGCTGGGTGTTATGAGAAATGTTTCCCAAGTAACTCAAAAGTTTAATTTGATATAGAGATCAAGATGGAATGGGAATTAAGATTCTTCTTACTTTTCATACCTCTGGGATGATGCCAGTTGCAGGAATCCAGTGCCCTCATTTTGTAGATTTTAGTAAAAAGTAATATTCATAAAGCGGAAAAGTCATCAATATTAATCCTAAATATTTTTGATAAATCAGCATTACATTTTTTATATAAAAAAATGTTAGAATATGCCTGCTCTAAGGGTACAAGGTATACCAAAAGACGCTCCCTACAGAGCGGCGTATTCTCTCCACTCTTTTTGTGTCGCGCAGTTAACACTCTGCTTCGTAAACTAAAAAGTTTGGGCTGCACGATCCTCAAGTCGATCGGAAAGTGCACCCAAGATTTAAGTGACTACTTCAATAGCTAAAACGGTTTACTGGCTATCAAAAGCCCACAGCGATACCCATATTATATTACGGAATCACTGCTTGGTAGACACTACTAGGCAAAGCTACAGGTGAAGTTTGGAAAAAGTTCAGCGAATAGCCTCAATACAAAAGCGCTGCCTTCAACGCTTAGTTTTCTCCTATAAGCCTGTAGGCGAATTGGAACGCCAGCTAAATGAATTTTACACCAATCTCGAAAGAGGTGAACTACACCATTTCCGTTTTCTGTTTTGACAACACTTTTCAACAGAAATCACATATTGTTGAGAAATGGGAAAACTTAATAGCTCTGTTTCAAAGATCCGTATCCATCTCACTCACACCTTAACGTCCGAAGGCAGTGCTTGTGACAGACTTCACTCGGAGTTGACATGCGCAGGAGCGTCTTTCAAGCTAAACTAGCTGCAAAAATGAAAAAAACGGCTACCTTTCAACTTAAGTATACTATCTCAACCCAACACAACACATTCTGACAGCCAAGTTGCCATTTAATCTCTTTATTGTAATCACCCCACCTCACAGGGGACAATAAGTTGTGGGGAAATCTTAAACAAACTTTTGATTATAATCGTATGAAAAACGAGCGTGGTTTGGGTCCCTGGTCATAAAGACATCCCAGGAAATTGGGGGGCCGAAGAACTTTCAAGAACGATAAGCTCTGCATGCGGCAAAATAATATTTTAATATTGAGTTCGCCTCTGAACTCCTTTACGATCCAGTGGGCTCGATAGGTGTATATATCGGTATTCTCTATTACCATATCTTCACTACTCCTAAGCATCCTCTCCTTTCAATCCTCAAAACTTAGATAACCAGAAAGGCCAATACTGGATGGTAGTCTCTGCTCCTTCTAAACAGAACTTCTTCAAGTATTACAACCGCCCTAATAAACGGAATGGGGACTCATGGTAAAAGGATGGGCTCCTTCTCTAATGACTTCAGTCGCGGCTACAGAGAGAGTGAGTCGGTAGAACACTACTTATGCCATTGCCCTACCCTAAGTGTGGCTCGACATCGGTCCCTCTGTTATTTCTATTTTGACTGCCTTGCAGATATTGCATCAACAAAGTCAATAAATACGTGTATTTCATAAAACTAACCAAGTGCTTTCAGGATCTAGATGACGTAAATCTCCTTCATGAATTCAGTACCCCTGCTAAACTTGTCGAGCTGAATAAACTGATGCTGAATCATACCATAACAACAAACGATTTTTCTAATTTCACCAAACTATATTTTAGACAGGGTGACTCTTCCCGTCGTATAATTCCTTCAACTTGGAGGCAACAATAAGAACAAGAGGGTACCATTTCTATCCAAATATTTCTAGTTTCTAGTGGATATTATAAAATTACTTTCATTGACCTTAACAACCTACTTTTATTCTTGTTTTCTCCAAGTTAGAGAAAATATTATTCACGTCTGGTCTCTCATGTCACTATTGACAGAAATTGCTTTGACGTCGTAGATAATGTCGTCTGTAAAGACCTCTCGCAGAAAAATTATTGTCATGCAATTATGAAAATGGATAGCTTAATAACCGCACAATGCCTTTAAATAGTTAAAACAAGAGAAGAAAGTATTGTTAAAATACAAAAAAAATGTGAAGACACTTGATCGTTTACATAAAGGCCTGTTCATGGCCGTTTTGTTTCTTTCATGTTGTTGATTCCGTTACAGAATGAGAAAGTGTAGCCGGAGACCCGACTGTGTCTACTTCTCTACGTTCCCCAAAGCTTAGACTTTCTAACAGCGTATTTTGCACTTGTACTTACGTCTACATCTATATAATGTTCAGCCTCAGTTGCCAGCTGGCTATTCACCATGCCGTACATACGTCGACTGGATGCTTGAAAAATTTTTACGGCGATGTCGTTTGGCCGCCAAGATCTTACACTTAAAAAATAACATTTGTTAGGTTATGGCTGGAATAGTATCCAACGAGAATTACCACAAACGGATCGAAACTTGCGTAAACTCGCGAGACGGTAATTTTAATGATGTGGTACATATAATACCAAGGTTGAAACTTTTGAATAAAAAATTATATCTTCGTGAAAATAGAAATTATTTAAGAAACAATTTATGTACGTTTATTTTCGAAATCTCAAAATGATGAGCACTGCACTTTGTACCATGGCAACGGCGAATGATGCAGACGATGGGACAATGGGTCTTCAGACTGTGACATACATGCATCAGGGGATAAAGTGTAAGCGAGAACGTTGGTTGGGTCAGATCGTCCGAGTGGATGAAAACGCTCCTGCTTTTAATATATTCTAGTATCCGCTTTTGGAAGAAGAAGACATCCACTCCGTTCAAATGAAAAGGTGGAGAGCGACCTGGTTTCACTTGATATCAAATTGAATATAAATTGGGGGCCGCTTTAGCCGCGTCGTTAGCAATGCGTACCATTCGGAAGACTCGGGTTAAAATCCTGGTGTGGTACAAGCATCCAAAATGTTATAGCACATTAGATAAAAAAAATGAAGCTAAATTTTCTAAATGCGGCCGTCCCTTGGCAAGGAATGTCAACACCTCCGAATATATTTATATCATGAAGTAATGGCTCCTCATAAAAAACCATTAGCAGCTTGGAGGCGGCTTAGTATGAACCGTAGGCCCCTCTATTTGTTGGAAAAACATCAAGACGCAAAACCACACATTGGAGGAGGAGCTCGGTCGAAAAACGCTTCAGTGGTTACAAAGCGCCGATTATATATATATATTATATATTATATTATATTATATATATAATTATGACCTCTACCTAATTCGCAATTGCTATGTTTAAATATTTATTTTTTCTTTCACAGTTTTCATGTATTTGCAATTGATGTTTTTAACATGACGATGATCCACGCGACATCAATCAGCATCTTCATACTAGTTAATTACCTTTAATTATGAATGTGTAATTTTTACTTCAAAGAAATCAAAGCAGGGATTTAAATCGAAGATCTAATGTAGCTTCAACTATGTACCGATGGCGGGGTGGTGATTTATATTATTTTTTCCGTTATTGGTGGTGGGAAACAGTATTTTACAAGAATAAATATATAGAACTAAATATAATTTTTCGCTACTAGCTTGGCATTTTTCTGCAGGGTAGTAATTAATATTAAATTAGAAGTACTCACACATCGTGTGGACTGTAATGAAAACTTATTGAAGAAATAGAGATAAGTTTATTGGTGCTTCAGTTAGAGCTCTGTTAGAGTTTTAGACAAATAAATTAAATAAATAGATGTATACGATTTGAGAAAAAACTAAGAGGGTTTGATTATTACACGTAGTAGCATAACAGAAATAAACTTGTACCACACTCTGTTATTGCTCCTCATGAGCAAAAATATTTGATTAGCAAAAATATATGTACATGCATAGCCAAATGCGTACATATATATATGAAAATATATGTTTTGTATACATAGGTATTTATTTTGTAGTCGCATGAATTGGTAGAAGACAGTTCTCAGCCTTTGGCCAATTTTGCATTCAGTCTGCAGCAGTAAATTGTGGGCGGCGCGACGTGGTTGCCCGACGGAAATATCCTCCATGCCTTCTATATAAAAGCACTGCACGCCGTCGCCGATAAGACAACCTTTGTTTCTTAGTTCTAAATTTACATTCGATTGTGTAAAGTGCGGACAAAATAAAATATGAATGGGTTCTATGAACATAGCATATTGGCAAAGCTCAATACAAGGTGATTTTAAATGACGAACGCAAAGGAGTGTTAGTGTGAAATTATTGTAATATATGCATATATAAGGATCTTATCTAAATAAAACAAAATTATTAATATATATTTTTGGGTTATTTTAACATAAGAGAACATAATGTGCGTGAAATTATTAGCAAACATAAATCTTCTTCTTTTTGTTATCATTTATATATGTACGCCTTGTTCTGATGAACGAAGGTGAATTACTTCGTAACCGAAAATAATACGTACATATGTTGAAATGTATTTAATAATAAAGAAGAAATACCTGTGTTGCCAATGAAGGTGTATTTGTCACTAATGGGTTGCTTGTGTAATACGGATATGTGTAAACTGAGCCTAAAAATAAACTTGCGGCACATTGATTCTACATAATAAGTTCAAATGTACACTCATAAATATGTGCATACATATATATATATGTATCCATATGCAGTTTTTATGCCTGCTCTCATTTAGAACTGTGTAGACATTCACATACGTTGATATACATATATGCAATCAATGACAAAAAATGTGTATTGTTTCAGCTCTTGATAATGTTTACAAACAAAAATGAAAAGTTCACTTTGTGAAAGCAAATTGTGAGGTCGCAAAGTGATAATTTATGGAAAATAATTCTAGTGAGTGATACACTTTGTATACTAATCTGTTGCAAGGCTGAACTTATATTTATACATCATCCATTAAAAAATAAACAAATATCCTGTCAAACAGAAAATATTGTTATATATTTTCATTGTGGTGAGCGTTATTTACCAAATTGATTTTTTTCTTGCAGCGACCCCCAATTTTTATGTTTATAACCCAAAACAAGATATGAAACTAATTTCAGATTTTATTTCTGCTTTAAGACGAAGTGTCTTCTATACAAATAACGTGATATTTTAGAATCTGTAATTTTAAGAACTTTTATATTTGGCGTTTAATTTTGCACAGAAATATGTACTTTTCATTCCTGAACGTTCAGTTTTTCATGAAAAAATAAAACAAATTTAAAAATTTAAAAAAACCCTTGTAATTTAAATAAAATATAATGAACTGATTTTGGCTTTGTTTTTTATACTATTAAAATACGAACATGAAAGTTAGGCGGCGCTGTAAGAAAAGGAACCACCGTGGAAAATGTGTAATTTACACTCCAATGTATTGGTCAAGTAAAAGGTTCGTTCGGTCGATTTTTTTTATTGATTTTTCGATATATGATTACTTTGTGTACAGATTGTCCAATTTAAGTCAAATATGCGTCATTTGTCCGTAAACTTGTGGCTTGTAGATAATTCCTTGCCAATCCCATCAAACACACAGCAAAACCTTCCTGGCCGTCAGTACGGTCTTGGCCGCCGTCTGGGCCGCTTTTCCGAGCTTCTACCACGACCGTTTGTGCTCGATGATGCTTCAGAAACGGGTCGATTTTGTTGCGATTCAGCAGCGAATCGCAGATGGAAATTCGGTCCTTCATGTTTTTTTATGTTAGTTCGTGTAGCACCGAAACATCGAACTTCTTTTTGAATCCAAGGTTATGCAAATGGTTCCAAAGGGTTTTCTGGCTTATCTTTAGTTCCTCAGCAACTAAATAAGTGGTCACGTGACGGTCTGTTTTCACTATTTCCATGATTTTATCGCAATTTTCGACGCGTGGTGCATCTTTTACGTCGAAATTACCGGAACAGAACCTAGCAAACCACTTTTGTGCTCCACGTTCGCTTACTGTATCAGGCCCATAAATGTTTCAGCCGCTTTGGCTGCTTTTTCACCTTGATCGAAGAAAAATTTTAATATGTGGCCAATTTTCTCTTTGCTGGTGTCCATCTTAGACGAGCGCTCACAACGTATTGAGTCAATCAATGGAAAAACTATCAAAGACAAACTTTTTGCGCGAATAAACTCGTTCTCAGCGCCGTTTAGTATGACATGATGCGATACGTAACACTAATACTATGGACACCATCTCATAGATAAAAACCGAACGAACTTTTTACTTTACCTAATATATACATTTACAGTGGTTCACCGCTTACTTCAACCATCCCAATTTTTTTTTTACTTTAATTGGCAAGAAAAATTAAAGCTGAACCTGCAACTAGCAAAAGAAATCAAAAATATGCTTGGAAAGTCGGGAAGTGAAATAGAAAAACGAACTAGTTCCAAACAAAAGATAAAAACTCGTTGAATCAATGCCTAGGTTGAGATCCGTAATTTATATGAAACCGTCTCATATAATCCACTGAAAAGCTCAATTCATGTTTTAATTCCATCATATGAAAATCTTATGTCCGCTTGGAAAAGTTATCTCCGAAAATATCAAAAAGCTACCTACTGATTGACTTGAAATTTCGTCAGATTATTTCTATGATCTCTGTAAGGTATTTTCGAAATAAAATTTCGACCTATTCGAAGAAATGTTATTAATGTTTTGATTTACTTGAAATTCGGTATATAGGTTGCCTTCAGCTTAGATTAACAGGAAGTATACACAAAAAAATTTTAATTATCTTTCAATTCATTTTGGCTTTTTGTTTAAATTAACAGGAAAACTGCTCTTATCAATGTCAATGGTAAAACCGAAAGTATTGATTAGACAAAATTGTAATAAAATTTAAAAACTTTTCATTTATTTAATGAGTATATGCGCCAGCGAATCGCTGCAGGGTACAGCTAGTCTCTCATGAATGTAAAAATTTTGGTTGAAGTGGGCTGTGTCTTAACACTTTTTATAATATTTGATTTTATATACTTATATCAAAAAGCTGTTAAATAAGCATTTATATTTAATTAAGTGAAGTAGAAATATTAATTTATAACATTGAATTAATTTGTTTAAATGTTTTATCTGCCGGCTGTAATAAATACGTTCATGGTTATTAGAGTTAGCTGTAGCCACACAAAATAATGTTTTTTCAGGTACTATACCTAGTTATGTACAGCGCATTCTGGTGAAATAAACCGAAAACGACCTTTAATATGAGTATTCCTCCTCATTTGAGGATTAAGAAGGCGTTCTCAGTTAGAACAACAATAAGCAACAAGTTTTAAGTTCCACAGTAATAAATTTTAATAAGAAAAATAACTTCGAACAAGCTGCATAAGATGGCTTAAAAATTTATCCTACAAAATATTAACCCTACAATTACTAAATACCTATTAAGATGCATTATTATCAAGAGTTTTGCTATGAAGTCAATGCTAAGCCACTTGATCCTGTTTAGGGTGAGTATTATATGAATAAGACACCTTAAAACCCATATATATTTATGTAGGAGCCCTGCAATAAGTTTTATTAATCCATTATTTAGTCGGCAACGATAGCGGTTACTGTAACTTGATCTCAAAACAGAACCCATTGCTAAATTATTTTTATTTCACCAAAGGAATCATTATTTACATTAACCGCCATACAAACTTAGTTGGGTGTTAAGAAATAATTTTCGCTTATTTGTCAGTCAAAGCTTTCCTTCAAATGGTTTTAAATTCTTAATAACTTCCTTTCATTCATTTGGTTTACATTTCAAGGTAGTTCTGAAATTGAATTCGAAATAAATTTCCCGTCGATCTGGAATTTTGGATCAACATTTGTAGAACATTGTGGGAAAGAAGACTGGCTGTTCTTGTATAAAATTTAAAAATAGCGAACAGAATATATGCGAAAATTAAGGAGAAGGTCAGATTTGTTTTTATGAATGAAATTATTAGAACTTGTTTGCAATTTGTTTTGACAAGTTTGAAGGGAACACATCCACTAAAAGGATCCAAAGGAGAAAGTAAATTAAAAGAGACCTGAAACTTGCAGCACGGAAATATCTTTTTGGCATCAACATTACCTGAAATCGTAATCGCCAAAGCATTCTGGCGCCGATAAGCTTTACTTTCCGTCCTCACGCCATTAAGCTCGAAATCTCTCCATTACTAACATGTGTATGTATTTGTTACTTTTACCTGTTTCTTTCCATTGGCATCCTTTTATTGACGGTGACTATTTGCAATTGAGGCTTGACTTTCCCTCGATAGTCTTTGGAATAGCCTTGGTTATGTACGAATCGTTTTCCATAAATATAAGGAACCACGCCCATATTTTTCGAGAAAACTATATTGGGTGCACTAACTTTGTTGAATTCATAATAGCATATAAAATTTTAATTGGTTTAGTAAAATAAATTTGTTTTACTTTACGCATTTTGCTGATACAAATTTAAAAATAATCAAAGAAGGAAAGAAAAGAAAGACAAGACATAAGGTGTTTGGTAAAAGTTGGCATTCGTATATTGACCAGTGATTTTTATTAAAGAATCAATATTTAAAATTTAAAAAAAAAGAAAACGTTTGAAGATATGCTTTTAGTAACAAAAATGTTAACACTCTTCAGCTCCAGTTACTTTTTAAAAAGGGCTTGCGACTGGGTCCATTGAATTCGGAGGATATCCCGTTTCAAAAGGATGTGCCATTGAGAATAGTCTCTTTTCTTGCGATTACAAAAGCTTCGTTTATACAGACTACTTATATTCAATTGCATTTATGCATGGGCTTTGAGGTAGCCAGTGATGGTACGGGGCAATATTACGTTGCTTGTCTCTGAAATTGTTAAGGACTATTGACTTGGTTCATCAATTATTGGCAACCAAGTCAAGATCAGAGGAAAGGTTTGGGGACTCAAACCGAAATTATTGCGCAAAATTTAAACTCAATTTGATTACTTTTAATTTCAAGTTTACACCTTAGCTCATTGACTCAGTGAAAAATTAATGGTCGCAAAATGTTTTCGATACTTTTCTAGGATATTTATCACGGAATACTATGGCTGTGTTTAAACTCGTCTTACTGGGATGTTTTTAGTGTATATAATAAATAATATAATATATTGAGGAACACCAGCTTTAACTGGAAGCTCCCCAGTGATAAATTCCAATTGCGTCGCGGTAAACTGTCTGTTAGACAGATATGACTCAAATAATTATAAATTTTGTTTAATAGACCTTCGTCAAACTTTAGCACTGCGTACTGCCATTCGGAAGGCCAACCTTCAAAAATTATAGAAAATTCATTTAAATAAAAGAAGTTAGTTTTCCTAACCGTATATTAATACTCCTTGAACTCGAATGCTATCCGAAATTCATTAGTAATTCGGTTGACTTATATTATAGATCAGAATTCTCTCGAATAATGTGGAATGAAAGGTAGTAGGCTTATTGGTCAATAAGAATACGCGTGTAAAAGGCCTTTTTTAATTCTTTAATCGTTATGCGGTGGTTTCGTTCGTGCATTTTGTTTTTGTAACATTAAGAGATTATCATTTTACCGAGTATCGAAGTACCAGTCCGGAAAGCTTGATTGTTTTTTCATTAGTCGGTAAGATTCAAATCAGCTGTTTGTTTTACTTCATTGCCTGAAAAGTTTGATTGCTTCATTGGAAAAATCAGTTAAATCTGTGACAATCCCAGATTATTATTGACATCATAATGTTTCTCTAGGTTATTAATATGGAACTGCCTTGTTTTACGTGACATTTAAGTTCATTTTTATTTTTCTTTATGTCAGCATCCGCTTCAAAATTTGTCATACAAATTGACTCCACCCTTTTTCATATGGTGTCCAATTAGTTTTCATTATAATTAAAAGATTGAAACAAAGATTTCGTCAAAATACTCATGATACGAAAAAAATAGTTTTATACGAGCATTCTTATCACCGGAAAGAAAATATAAATACGGATTTACATACTGGTCTAACTCATTTTGACACCGTTGTATAAAGGTACGTCTTAAAGCACGCTCAGAAATTTATAAAAAAGATTTCGTCAAAATAATTGTGGCGACTAGTGTGCTAATGTATATAAATATGAAGATCTCTCCATTTTGGACAGGAAATAGCAATGATTGTTGTTTTATAGGGGGAAACTAATAACCTTTTCCTACTTAAAATAAGTCTTGTTGCTGATTATCAATACATAAAACGAGAGTCGCCTATTAAGGGAAGATAGCTTTTCCAGCTCTTTTTTATTTCAATATATAGTTTTATACATATTTTTTCTAATACCCAGATCAACACGCAGAATTTACGATTAAAATGAGCAGGACTATTCAAATATTACATCTGTCGGCTTAGTCTTTAAATAATTTGATAAAGTTTCATAAAGACTGGAAGAACAAGTGAATTAAAATACATTATGTTCAGCGTTAAATATTTCTACTTTTTTACAAGCTATATCAGAAAACGTCAAAGGCATTTCCCCTTTTTCTTTATTGGCGTTGGCACCGCTTACGCGATTATAGCCGAATAAATATTAGCGCGCCCTTAATCTCTTCGATTCGTTGCCTGGCGCCAGTTGGAACTACCAATTGAAGCCACGCCACTTTCCACCTCATCCTTCCAACGGAGTGGAAGTCTGCCTATTCATCTGCTTCTTCCGGCGGCTATTGAATCGAACACTTTCAAAGCTGGAGTGCTTTCATCCATTCGGACAACGTAACCTAGCCAGCGTAGCCGCTGTCTCTTCATGCCCTGGACTGGACTATGTCAATGTCATCATATAGCTCATTATCTACGACTTCAAAGTTATGATTGCCAACAGTGACGTGGGAGCCAACTCGAGAATGTGATGACTGTTTTTTTGATGACAGGAGATATTTCGTCTTGTCATCGTTCACTACGACACCCATTCGCCTTGCTTCTTTATCAAGCCTGGAGAAAGCAGAACCAACGACGCGGTTGTTGAGGCCGATAATGTCAATATCATCGGCGTGCGCCAGCTCAGCTTTAGCAGCATGAAATTGAAGAAATTGCATGACAAAGAGTCACCCTGTTTGAAACCTTATTTGGTATTGAACTCGGCTCGGAGAGATCCTTCCCAATTCCTTCTGCGCTTCTGGTGTTGTCAAACGCCAGCTTGCACAGCCGTTTAAGTTTTGCGGAGATACCAAGTTCAGACATAGCGGCCAAGCTGTCGAAGGCTGCTTTACAATCCACGAAGAGATGGTGTGTGTCACATCTTTTTTGACGGGTTTTTACCAACATGTTGTATATCTGGTCAATGGTTGACTTACCAGATCTAAAGCCACAGTGATAAGGTCCAATCACTTTGTTGACGGTGGGCTTCAGTCTTTCACTCAATACGCTGGAAAGGACCTTAAAGCGATGTTAAGAAGGTTTTTTCCACGGTAATTGGCGGAGACTGTAGGATAGCCTTTTTTTGCAGATTTGGCAGAGCACTTTTAGGTTCAAATCGTCGGGCATGCTTTCATCCGACCATGTTTTGCAAAGAAGCTGATGCATGCACCTGATCAGTTCTTCTCCGCCGTATTTGGATAGCTCGGTCGGTAATCCATCGGTCCCTGCCGCTTTATTGTTCTTTAGGCGGGCAATTGCTATCACTAGATCAGCTCCATGGCTCCTACAAGAGTTTGCTCCGGTCTTGAATATTTGCGCAAGTCGCCGTATCTTTACGTAGAATTTCGAAGCTTCTCGAGCTCCTCGTACTCACACATCTCGGCCTTTTTCTTTTTTTCCCTGCAAAAGCAAATGCGTGTTGCTTCTTCAGCTGTCGGTGATCGATCGCAATGAGGTAGGCAGTATGTTTTCTCTCCACCGTGACACTGCAATTCTCATCGTACCAGCTGTTTTTGTGACCTTTTCGAAGTCCAATAGTTTCGTTTGCAGCTGTACGTAAAGAGCTTGAAATGCCGTCCGACAGTTCTCTCATGCCGGGTTTCTCTCAAGAGCAGCTGTGCAAGTCGAGTAGAAAGCCGCTCGGCATTCTCCTGTGATCCCAGGTTTTCAACGTCGAACCTCCCTGGTGTTTATTGATGGGCGTTCTTCCATATACAGAGGCGGGAGCGTATCTTCGCTTCGGCAAGATAGTGGCCCGAGTCGATGTTGGGTCCTCGAAGTGTACGCACGTCAAGAACACTGGAGACATGTCTTACGTCAATCACAATCTGGAATCTCGTACTACAGACAACCATATTTCGGGCCCCGGCAAAGTCGATCAGTCTCACCCATTTGGGAGACTGAATTTTTCGACGCGGAGCAGCGCCCAAAGTGTGCTGTAGGCGTTCATAAAAGGCATCTTTGGTCACATCGTCCTTCTCTTCCGTCGGGGCGTGGGCGCAAATCAGAGTGGAGTTTAAAAATCAACCGGGTAGAATGCCAGTATTCGACGACGTAGTGGCTCTCTCACCATGAAATTTGCGCTCTTTTATATGGCCGTTGTGGTAAATTTCATAAGGGGCCATCTTCTTCTGTTCTTGTCCCGTCTTGGACGGCGGTGATATCGGTGAGGACATCATCCAGCTGGGCTGCGGCACTTTCCCAATTAAGTGACCGGACATTCCAGGTGCATTCCCTCAAATCGTAATCCTAAAAATATTTACGGAAAAATTTAAAGGTATTTCAGATATTCCAAAGCTTTCTCAAGAGACAAGAGACCATAAATTTATTTCGGATATTTCCAGAAAGCCATAAATACATATATTTCAGAAACAATCAAATGAAGTTTTTGAGAATTTTTTTTTTCAAATTTATTCTGACATTTTTAATTTTTATATAGTTTGAAGAAGCAAGAAAGCTCATCTCTGCTTATGAGATTTCATATGCGAAAAATATGATATAGTTTTGTAATAATCGTCCCAAGGCTATACTCAATTCCGCTATAGTATGGAAGCATAGACTTTGAAACTATTCAATGCAGTACCCACTATTGGAATCAGAGGATGAAGAAGACCTCTACTCCGTTGAAAAGAAATTGTGGGTAAAGACCTGCAAGTACTAACGTGTGCATTGCATGACCTTTTCCTCGATAACTGTACTTTTTTAAAATCATGTCAAGGTTTCTGAAATCCATAAGATTCTTTCGGACAAATAGTTTTTGAGTTTATAAAAATAGCTTTTCCAAACTTGATGTAAATTTTTAAACATTTGAACTTTTCTGAAATACGATAAGAAAGAGTTTGGGGCGAAGTCAACCTTTGATTCACCTTAATTCGCAATGAGCCGATTTGATTTTGGCTGGTAGACAAAAGTGCAGTCTTCCAATTTCTGAAAACTAAAAAGCTTTACGTAGTTTTCAATTAAATATATTAATTAAACAAATTAATTTTGGGGTATTTCAAAAACTACATGAATCGCTCCGTAATATTTCTCTATGGTCTTTTTCTATATATTTCATAAATTCTAAGAGGTCGCGAATAAATGTAAATATAAAATTTCACTTCTAATTAATATAAACATGTTGAAGGATATGATGATAAATATAAAGTTTTTAATATTACTAAAATATTAATTGATTGATTTGAATATTCGGAGAACGTGTTTCACTGAACTAACGAAATATAGAGTTATTTGCTAAATCTTAGCCTTAATGAATTAATGGTAATAACAAAATGTGTCCCATTTATGGAAATACAGTATTCCTCCAGTATAACGATGTTTCGGTTTAGCGAATTATTTCCCTCTATATTAAAACCGCATGCAAATTTAATATATATTATAGAATTGTAATTTTAACAAATCTACCTTAATGTGGCAAAGAATTTTTCTCTTAGATAAGTTTAGAACAACAACAACAACAACTCCTCCACTGAAAATGTTTGCTTGTAAAATTATCACCGATAAGTTACTAGTTTCTGATTTTATTAAATCCTGAGTACTAACCGCTTAAATATGACTAAGACCTGGTTGATAGTAAATAGTAATTGATTTTCCGCAGCTTTTTCGAAAACACAAGAACAATAAATTAAATAAATTGATGATACTAATTCGATAAGCTAAAACCAGAAGTTAAAACGGTCTGAAGGCGACTGTAGCCGAGTAGTTAGCAATTCGTGCTAGTATGCGGATGGTCATGGGTTCGTACCAAACCAATGTCATAATTTTCATATAATTTAATTTATTTAATTTGTCCGATTGCGATATTATATCATCTTGGCCTCCTTCACCCATGCGCTTAGCGACGAGGTTTCGGGGAAATAGATCTGGAACTGATCTATTCCATTTCTTCAATTTCTTAAAATTTGGCATGTGAGTAGTCTTTGTTAAAATTAACATACAGAACAGTTTTTCTTGCAGGAAATGGATATTAAAAATTGCATTTATGGCACAATTCACTTGAAGTTCTATTCTTTTTATATGAAAAGATCGTTCGTTAGAAGTTTTAACTAGATAAACACAGTGCTTTTCTTCTCGGAATTGAACAGATGGAAAATTGCTCTAACTTTGGTACAGAGAAAGACCAACTGATGTATTTAGCGCTTTTTAACCGGTAAAGCAATCTCCGACCGAGCTCCTCCTCAAATTTTCGGACCTAAAATATATTCTGAGTCGCCTCAAAATGGCTGCAGGATTTTTACTAGATACTTTGACTCCCATGCCAGTAAAAGTTTCGGAGGATTTTGCATTCTCTGCCGTGGGGCGACCGCAATTAAAAAAACTAAGTATTTATTTTTCGTAGAAGTGATTCACTTGCAGATCGAATGAATTTGGTATGAAGATATCAAATTACGCAGTTTCTCGTCCACTTTCTGAAACGAACGGTTTCCTATAAATTATAATAAACTATTCCAAAAGCTTCTTGGAGTATAGCAAGCGAGAGAAAAGTTATTGATGTAGCTATCTAAGCTAACCAAGCAGAGAACTGTTCTCAGTAGTACTTTAGTCGAAAAACAGCTTAGTTACTGAATTTCATAAACACGATTTTTCCGAACATGTCAGTCCCAAATTTGCAAAGAAAAATAGCTCCCAATGTCGATTGAGGCAAAGAACTGCCAGCGTGCCGCGTCGCGTGTTTGTCTAGCGATCAGTAGTATTCAGATTATTCTCGAATAGATCGGTCCCAGGCCCATATCCTAGAAAGAAAGGGTGTACCCCATATCAATCTAGGCAAAGAGTTACCGATGCACCAAATTTCATCTAAATCAAACAATTTTAAATAAAATCAATTTTTTCGAATACATACACATAACAGAATCTGCAAGTTTCATATCTCTACAGCCACTTACACTGTGCGTTGATCCGTCAGTCATTCAGAACAAAACTTTTGTATCCCTAGATATCATGTGATACAAATTACAATCAAACAATCAACGATAAGATGCAACCATGCAACTATGCAATAAGAAGCAAGATTTTTTTAAAAGAGCGTGGCAGTTATCACTCAAGGAAAACTTCTTTATCCCCCTTCTACTCAAATATATTCTGGGAAATATAATATATAGGCGGTCTAAAAAATGAGTATACGGTTTTTAAGATGCAGTGAGACAAAAACTTCTTTATAAAAAGATAACGCAGCATGCCGGGCTTCGTGTAGAATGCCAGAGTGGCTGAAACAACAGGACGTGTGCATTATTGACTGACCGTCGATGTCTCCTGATCTTAAATATCGTGGAAAATTAATGATGCTTCTTAGTTCGAAGTATTTATGCAGGAAATACCAAATAATCGTCCTAAGTACAGCAATACTTAAAACTCAAATAAATAAATTGAAATTAAATGACTTTATAATTCTGAAAATCTGTTGTTGTTGATTTCTTCTATAATGTGTTCAAATATCAGGTGGTAAAAATTTTTGATTAAAAATCTTGCGTTCTTGTGCGGTTGGTCCTGAGTCATTTGGTTGAGATAGTGAAGTGAAAGAAAAACTAATTTTAAAATCAAGGGGATGCATAATGCATAAAACGATGTTAGACAGTGAACTCCCTTCATAAGCTAATTCATAGCTCAAAAGCGAAACCCTGTGAGTGGTGTCATTTTAAAGACAATGGCGATGAAGCTTCAATTTATACATGGTATTGAATATTTTAATAATATTCATTTTTGCTTTTAAACTGAATTCCAGTATTCAGTAAAAATTTCTGTCCTAGACGGTTTGGAGTTAATGACTTCTTAGGAGTTGAATATGCAACAAGTTCTTAAATGAACTGCGTCACAAACGTACTAATAAAATATATTGAGAACGCAGAATAAATAAATGAAATATCGCATTAATTCAGGGTTTGAAATAAAAATCAATAAAACTCCTAAGATCTGAAAAAATATGATAAATGTCTCGAAAGTGCGATACGATAATATTGATTTGCATTCGAGATTTTTATCGAAAGCGGAGAATTTTGCCGTTTTAAACCGTTCTTATATACGTATATATATTAATAAGAAATAATATAATAATATTGATTTCAGGAGTTCTTGCTTAATAAATTTATTAAGATAAATAATTATTATTTCTAACCGTAGAATATATTAAGTTTTTTCAAATTTAATCATTTTATGTTAAATGTAAACAACGGAATTTATTTATGTATGTTGCTTGGGGATAGTGTTGAGTAACTAAATTTTCAATTAATATTTTAAAATTATCTTCTCTTATACTTTTTTTTTACAAAATCGCCCACCAGTTAAGAGAAGAGAATTGAAAAAGTACAGGTTGTTTTCTGTTCCCTATGTACAGCTATGGGGTTGCCTCGTATGAACAGGTGAGTGCGCGTTGTTAATATACCCTTATCAGATATTTAATCTTACATAATATATAAAATTAAATCTTATTGTATTAGGTTGCCTCGATAAAATGATGTTAGTGATCTTTGTCATTTAGCACGCCTTTCCATGGCACATACTATGATGAAGAGATTTTTTAACAATGAAAATTTTTCCGTAGCGTATATGTATATTTATAAATTAAATTCAATTTAAAAATCAAATATCAAAAACAGTACAAAACATTTTCCCACAGATTTATTAAACTAAAAATTAACATTATTAAACATAAAGAATACTTTAATAATTATTGAAAACCTCAGAGGATTTTATAAAATACTACAGGGTTTTCTGGAAAAAAAACTTTTTCATAAAAACTGAAATGTACTTCAGAAAACCATCAACTTGTTTTAGCTTAATTAAGTTTTCGATTTCTTCATTTGATTTTGCTTGAAAGGTATTCTTGGTTTACTAAAAAAAGTACAAGTGAGGTTTTCTGAAATAAAATCCTGGCCGTCTGAAAAATTTAAGTTTACTGAAATACAGTTAGAACAGGTGAATGCTCTCTATGATATAAGAGGTTGTTATTCGTCTTAAATTTAAATCTATTGGAATTGATAGAACAGGACTTGACTTTCACCAGTGCTAGTTTATCAACATAGGGGTCAAATCGTCTTGGGCATGAGCTAACAACTCATTACGTGAAGGTGTTATAGTCCACAAAACTCTATTCTCATGAACAAAATGGTTAATTTAGTCAACTAATTAATATTTAGCTTTTGTTCATATCTTAATTTTTAATACCTAGTACTTTCACAATTTTCTATGTTTTAAATTCTATATGTTTTTTTTCTTCCTTAAAAAAACTATGTTAGCGGTTCAAAAAGCCAACGTGCGGTCCAGTAACTCATATTAATATATATGCAATCATACACGCAAAGGCGATAGAAGCTGATTGGAAAATATTGACCTTGCAGTCATTTGGAACCATTGCCTAGAGGAAATTCATCTTTTGTAGAGATATAAACGAAAAAGAGGAGTGTGCGCGAAAGAGGTGCAGAAAAGTGCCAGAGGGCATGTTTATACCTGAAACACTAAGAAGCTGTATGATTGAGACGGACGTATCTTCATATCTGCAAACACCATCCTCAGGACAGGTGCTGATTTTTAATTCATGAAAACAAAAAAAAAAACTAATATCTTATTGCTTCATAAAGACTAAACTGTCACAAAAGCAAAGATATAAAATAAAAATATAATGTGCCGACGTATACAAAAAAAGGGTTGCGAGTACAGTTAATACATTTTATGGAAATGTTATCAGCCTATGCAATTAATTACCTTGCGCAAAAAGAAGACACAAAGTATTATACTGAATTGGATCATCAGTTGCCATCGAGCAATCGACTAATTATACTACCACTACTGTTCTTTCTGCTTTTATCTTTAAAGAAATCTCCTCGTCTAATTCCACCACTATTAAAAATGAACTATTACTTCTGCAATCATCGTGACTAATAATACCTCTGATACCTTTGATTTAAAGCCTACCTAAATATATATGTGCATTTACTACAATATAACATAAAAATTAACGTATTCAATAAACATACGTGCAAAAGAGGTTATGTTGTTTATTAAAAAATATTCAGAGTTACACTTTGACTTCAGTTAAGTCCATTACTATGAAAGCATAAGTTCAACCAAAGTACTCCTAATGAAGATTACGAAGTAATTAAATTCGAATTACAGTAAAGTCACTAAGTAACTGTTTATGGAAATGTTTTATCTATTACTCCTACTATCTATCTGCTTACTTTTTATATGATACACTTATTTTATATATGTGTTTGTTCTTATATCAATGTTTAAAGCTAGCAAACCGATCTAAATGTGTCCCTTTTTCAATGTAGTAGCATTTTTAAAAATTCACTAAATTATACTTATTTTTTTTGTTTACACTAAATAAATGGATTTACATGTATTATATATGATATGAAAATTAAACACATAAAAGTTATAAGTACAAACGAATTAAGTATATTTACAATAAATGCACAACGTATTTGGGGAATTTACGTAGCTGTCTAAAAAGTTTGATCACTAACCAGTGCAAGCGATTAAAAATTTCTCAAGCTCTTATTAGCAACAGCATATATAGTTCCAGTAGTGGACGAGTACGATTTGTCGTATCGCTAAGTAATAAGCTTGCACTAACGATTATGTGGCTCGCTAACTGATTTTTAAGGGTACTACATAGCTGATATTTATTTTCATCAAAAAGAGGAAGCGTATTATCATAGATTAGCGGAACGTCAAAGAATGTGAGAAACAGTGAAGAAATGATTAAATTAAATTCTATATTGCCATGTTCACTATCTTAAACTATGTTATGGTTTCAACTTTCAAAAATACCATGTCAATTAGTAAATAGTTCCCCATTTCTGGCGGCCGCCAATATCTTGAAATAACTTATGAATAATGAACTTTGTTACCCAACAATAAAAATCTATGGAGGTTGGCATAAGCTTCGTCATTATTAATACATGAGTGCTATCCATAGCCCTAAAATAACTCCAACAAAGTTTGAGGTTTATGAATTTCTATTTCATTTGCAGCTTGAAAATCTAATCCATACATGATGGAAATGGCTTACAGACAACTAAATAAATAAGGTATCCATTCATCTACAATTGTGCGTTGATAGCATCCTGTTGCGAAGAATCGTAGGGCGGTGAGAACCGTTGAGCATTTTATTAGTATAAAAAATTGGAAAAGACTTGGAAGATATATTATTCTCCTGTCTCTATTAGGAAATGTTGTTATTCTTCTGTTTTTTATATGGCTATCAATTTGCAAACCAATTTATTCAACTAAATCTGGGGTTTATCTATTCAGATTCCAAAACTTAGTTACATTTAAGTGAGAGGATCTTCCACTTCTCGAAGCAAACTTCTATATATTAATGAAGAGCAAGTTATCTTTGGATAAAACGTATGCCAAATACTCAAAAGCCATGTTCTTTCGATGGCGTCAACAACTTCAAAATATTCGTATTTTCTTAGTAAGTTATTTACTACTCGACATACAGCAGATTATGCTATAGTTTTGTTAAGATATGTATAGCAATAGTGAAACCGTTAAGCTAATCACTAAGTTATTTAAACGACTCGAAAATTACTAAAATAGAATAGTGAATGTCCAACACAATTTCACATTTATCTGAATATTTCGTCTTTTTGCGAAAATGCATGAAAAGAAACTAAAGTATTCATATAAAACTATGAACATCCATAAAATTCGGAACTCCAATGAGCATATTTTCTTATTAGTTAAAGTATGCAATTAATCACATCAGACTATTTTAAGCACGTTTGATTTCACAACTAATTATCAGTAAACAGCAAATTATAAATGGAATATTTTGTTTTAATACTCAAAATTTGTTAACATGAACATGAACGGATTATGAAAATATGACAAAGAACTTCATAATAACACTAATAACGAAAACAACGTAATTTCCATATTCGGATACGGATAAAAACTTTGCATTTTTTGACCCACGCTAATACATAACGTGGCAACCATGCTCAATACAATTGGTATATGATTTACTGTTCGTAATACAGAGTATGAGTTGTAGTATAAGTCGTTGTGTGCAGTAAAGAGATTTGCTATTTCTTGAGCAATAAAACGACGTTGATTAAATTATTTACAGCTAAAAAAATTTTAAACAAATCTTGAGACCCTTAGCAATCAAGTGATGGAATCTAAGGATTTGGGAAATCGTTCAAAATACAATACATCATCTCGAAAGGGAATTGGCAAAGATAAAATAATCTACAACCACAAACAAGGGGGAGATTTCAGCTCCTGCGAGGAGCCAATATGAAATGCTTCGCGAGGATGAAGATACATCCACGAAGAATGAAGAGAAAAGAGATGCTGTCAAATCTGTAAAGGAATTAAAACAACCAGCAGATAAGATTAAGAAATAGAATCATCTAGTGGTCTAAACAATGCCAGTTCTAAAAGAACGACAAGATAAGCTCGAGGACAAAGTGGAAGCGATTAAAGGACTTCTACGACACTTTCAAATGAATCTTTCAACCACTTCAACGAACGCTGCTAATTATCATTCGTTAATCTAAAACGATTCGTCGAAAGTGCCGTGTGACCACAGCCTCGGTCTCGCAAATTAGTAAGAAAGCATTGCATTCATATATGACATGCATAACAAAATTATGGAGTATAAAAACATGGAAGTAACACTAAGCATTGGTTAAAGTGACTCACAAAGTAGTGAGCAAGTGGTCTTTGAATACAGCGAAGAGACTCCACCAAAGTCAGAAGCAGTTGTTTGTGCAAAGTTTGTGGGACATACAAATTGTGGGTCATCGAAACAGCGCAAAATTCTATAGCGGACGTACTTATTGGTAAGACCATGGCTAACAGGCAAAAGAATGGACTCATCCTACTTCGAGTATTAAATGAATTCAATAAATAGAATTAATTAAAAAGGGACTGCATTGAGAGTCAACGAGGCGATTTCGTTGGCAATACCAGAATAAAGCCAGGCAAAATATTGCAACATATTCTAACTAAGTAGAACACGCCTTGCGAAACATTCTTAGAAGTGCTGGTGACGTTAGGTCCATTCATTAAGCTCCGCGAAGTGTTCCATTGGCCAAACGTGAGGCTGTGAGCCGAATAAGCGATGAGCAGTGAAATATTGGCCTAGGCCTAGAAATTACGGATTTATTTGGGGCTTTGCACTTACTATCGCCGATCGTTGCTTATTGACTTCATGAACTTACCAGAAAAAATGGGGCTTTTGAGAGCAAGAGGAGGCCTTTCAAGCTCTAAAGGAATCGCTATGCACTGGCCCTCTGCTAGGGTACTTGGTTTCGCTTGAAATATTTATTAGGATATTCCGGCCTATTCTATATGAGCAGCCTAGGAAACAAGTACATCCTTTTAATTATGGACCAATTTAGCAAATAGCCCAAAGTCTACTCAATTCCAAACCAGAAATCGAAAACTGAAGAGGATGCCTTCACCCAAAATTGGGTTGGCAGATACGGTTAGTTTATTAAGCTGGACTCTAACCAAAGAAGGGGCATCGAATGCGCGGTATTCTTTGGAATGTTGAAGACACTGAGTATTCGGATAAACTGAATGGTAACTCTGCATCCACAATCAGAGGGAATGTTAAAACGATTCAACCCTGGAACAACACTTGAGGAAATTCGTGGACCAATTTCTGGATGATTTTGAAATGGTCCGCAATGCATGAAAAAACAGGTAAATCAGCAGCAAGGATACTTTTTGGAAATGAGCTTCGGTTGCTTAATGATTTGAAGTTTGGAGTGGAGGAGCTAAGAGATGCCTGCTCTCGTAAGACAGCGAACTAAAATTATGAACAACAAGATGAAGGCCAGGTATGGGGCGATGAACTCCGCAGATTTCCAAAATGAGCATGTGCTCCTATATACCCACTATGTAAGAAAGAGTTATTTCCAAAATTTCGATGCAAATGGGAAATTCCATATAAGATAATTAAGCGACTGAACTATGTAGGGATTTGAGTCCAGACCGTTGAAAGACCAGGAAACTAGAAACTAGATGGCAATGTTGCGGATAACAGTCGCAGAGGTGATACCGATTACAACAGTCAGTTGTAGAGAATAAGTATCGAATGTTCTGTATATAGTAAGTACATGTTCGAAAGTCCCAGAATAGGGCAATGAGCTGAGATATAACCAGTGCAGTCTAGATAGCATTCAGGAAGTCGCAAAGTAAGCTTGTTGTTGACAACATCGATGTAGAGTGAATCGATGAAAACTTTATGAAAATATTAGAATGTCAGAGTCGTAAAATTAGTCATTGTAATTATGTACAATAGTTAACAAAATCGTGATTGACGAATAAGTAAACGTTGACTATTCAGAGCAGGTAATTTCAAAAACGTTAGTTGCAAAGCAACCATACGTGTACATTGTTACGCATTCTGAAATGTAACTGTGCAAATTTTGAGGATGTATCATGCTGCGAAATGCATTGGTAGCAAACTGCGCAACTGTTGAGGTTTGTGATGCTTTATTTTAACATAAATTCTTACCTTATTAAAGCCGCTGAATCGACTTTCGGCTGG